GCACTTGTCTATTTCTTTCTTTCTCTTGAATGATCTTTCCGATTGCCTTAAATAGGTAACAATCGGTTAAGAAATTATATTCCGGCATTCGATTCCTCTTTAAATTTTTAGTGGAGTCGATCTTGTATTGGTGAGGAGAGTCTCGTGTAGAGAGAGGGGTTGCCAAAACGCATCCTCACGGTTCGAGATTCTCAATATCAAGCTTGCTACGGAGGTTCTTTTCAATTCTCTTCTCTTTTATTGCTTTATTTATTGTTTTATTTAGCTTTATTTATGCCATGTAGAATAAAATCATGTAGATAGCTATTTTGCCTCTTTTATTGTTTTATTTAGCTTTATTCATCATTTTATGCATGCAATATAGAATAAAATCATGTAGATAGCCATTTAATATTATAGGGTAATCGCGTAATTTCTCGTAGTCTTTACTTAAATGAATTAATCTGTCATAGGGAACCCGAAAGGGGCGTTGTGGGGTGCTAACACCTTCCCCACACGTAACTAACTCCCTTACCTAACTCTGGTTATAATGGCCAAGTCTGGTTTTTATTAAAATCAATGCCTTTTCATCCTTTTCCAATGTTTATGGTCAAAATATTGGTGGCGACTCCATAAGAACCCCTTTTCGAAAACCTTGCTTTTTCAATGTTGAAGCAATGAACATATTTTAAAACAAATACGCGAGTCTAAATCATCTTTCGCGACCGCTCGCATAAACGTTTCGAGACGTCCCCAGGACGTCGGAAAGGGACGGCGACGACATTCATCATAAAAAATCAAATCAAATATTGGATCCCCAGGAAGCCAATAAACTCCCCGGGATCACCAAAAAGAAAAGAGAAAAAAGAAATCTTTTCATCCAGCAGATAACAAAAAAGCCAGTGTGCATAAAAGAAATTAAAAAGGCACCCACATTTAAAAGCCAAATTTTCAAAATCGCAAAAAAGAGATAAAATCGCGAGAAAAAGGTAAAAGTCCATTCCCCAGCAGAATAAGAGCGTAGGCAAAGCCAGCTCAAAATAACAGCATCCAACAAGGAGTCAAAAACTACATTCCTACCTAGGGGGCAATTCAAAATAGATCTCCGGAAAACGATCAAATCCCCGGTGGATCACCAAAAAGAAAAACTATCCCCAGCGAGCCTACCAGCAAAGGCAAAACTACAAATTCATATCCTCAGGGATTTAATCGCCTATAACGCCCAATATGGATATCCCTAATGGAATGCAAAGCTTCCACTTCCAATGAAACCTTTGCCTACTCAAAGGCAAGCAAAGAGCCAATATCCCCAAGAAACGGGAAATCAACCTATGCAAGAGGCAATACAAGTCCAAACCACAAAGCTTCCAATAAAGCATCTGCCTACTCAGAGGTATTATCAAGAGCAAATATCCTCAAGTGGAACATCAGTCTATTCAGAGGTGAAAAACAACAAGTATAAAGCCTTCACCACTATTGAAGCATCTGCCTAATCAAGAGGCACAATCGACAGAAACCAAAAATCTCCAATGGATTCATGCCTAAATAAGAGGAAACCAACAAAGAATCCCCGGCAAGACCGGATGGCTAAAAAAAAAAAAAGAGGCCAAAAACAAAGAATCCCCGGCAAGACCGAATGGCTAAAAAGAAAAGCCAAAAACAAAGAATCCCCGACAAGACCAGATGGCTAAACAAAAAAGCCAAAAACAAGAAATCCCCGGCAAGACCAGATGGCTAAAAAGAAAAGCCAAAAATAAAGAAATCCCTGGTAAAACCAGATGACTAAAACAGAAAAGTCAAAAAGAAAAATCAATCACTCCCCATGGAATGGGCGCATGATCAGAAACAGTAAGTCGCCAACACATCTCCAAAACCAGATGACCATAGGATTGACTACCAAAAAGTGCATCCTAAGAGCCTTGCAGAATGGGGCTCGTTCAGAACCTTGCAGAACAGGGTTCATACCAGGTGGAGGTAGGTACCCATCAGAGCCTTGCAGAACGGGGTTCGTACCAGGTGGGGGTAGGTACCCACAAGAGCCTTGCAGAACGGGGTTCGTACCAGGTAGGGGTAGGTACTCATCAGAGCCTTGTAGAACGGGGTTCGAACCAGGTGGGGGTAGGTACCTATCAGAGCCTTGCACAACAGGGCTCGTTCAGAACCTTGCAGAACGGGGTTCATACCAGGTGGGGGTAGGTACCCATCAGAGCCTTGCAGAACGGGGTTCGTATCAGGTGGGGGTATGTACCCATCAGAGCCTTGCAGAATGGGGTTCGTACCAGGTGGGGGTAGGTACCCACAAGAGCCTTGCAAAACGGGGTTCGTACCAGGTGGGGGTAGGTACCCATTAGAGCCTTGCAGAATGGGGTTCGTACCAGGTGTGGGTAGGTACCCATCAGAGCCTTGTAGAACGGGGTTCGCACCAGGTGGGGGAAGGTACCCACCAAAGCCTTATAAAATAAGGTTTGTACCAGATGAGGGTAGGTACTCATCAGAGCCTTGCAAAACAGGGTTCATACCAGGTAGGGGTAGGTACTCACCAGAGCCTTACAAAATAAGGTTTGTACCAGGTGGGGGTAGGTACCCATCAAAGCCTTGCAGAACGGGGTTCGTACCAGGTGGGGGTAGGTACCCACCAAAGCCTTATAAAATAAGGTTTATACCGGATGAGGGTAGGTACTCATCAGAATCTAGCAAAATATAGATTCATACCAGGTGGGGGTAGGTACCCACCAGAGCCTTATAAAATAAGATTTGTACCAGGTGGGGGTAGATACTCACCAGAGCCTTATAAAATAAGGTTTATACTGGATGAGGGTAGATACTCATCAGAATCTAGCAAAATGCAGATTCATACCAGGTGGGGGTAGATACTCACCAGAACCTTACAAAACGAGTTACAAAAACCTTACTTTTATTAGAGGATAGTTCAGTTATTGAGCACCTCGGAAGTAAGTACCCAAAAAGAACCTTGCAGAACGAGGTTCATACCAGGTGGGGGTAGGTACCCACAAGAGTCTAGCAAAATACGGACTCGTACCAGGTGGGGGTAGGTACTCACCAGAGCCTTATAAAATAAGGTTTGTACCGGATGAGGGTAGGTACTCATCAGAATCTAGCAAAATGCAGATTCATACCAGGTGGGGGTAGGTACCCACCAGAGCCTTATAAAATAAGGTTTATACCGGATGAGGGTAGATACTCATCAGAATCTAGCAAAATGCAGATTCGTACCAGGTGGGGTAGATACTCACCAGAGCCTTACAAAACGGGTTGCAAAAACCTTACTTTTATTAGAGGATAGTTCAGTTGTTGAGCACCTCGGAAGTAAGTACCCACAAAGAACCTTGCAGAACGGGGTTCATACCAAGTGAGGGTAGGTACTCACCAGAGCCTTGCAGAACAAGGTTCGGACCAGGTGGGGGTAGGTACCCACAAGAGCCTTATGAAATAGGGTTCGCACCAGATGAGGGTAGGTACTCATCAAAAAGCAGATTCATACCTAGTGGGGGTAGGTACCCACAAGAGTCTAGCGAAATGCAAACTCATACCTGGTAAGGGTAAGTACTCACCAGAGCCTTATAAAAGAAGGTTCAAACCAGATAGGGGTTGGTACCTATCAAAAATATTTATCATCCGGAGGATCAGCAAACTTCAGCAAAGGAGCATCCGAAGGATGACCGGGCAAAAAGGGTTAACTCCTTCACCTACCAACTAACTTTGTGGGCACATTAGGCCAACAATTAGTCAGGCAGGTGAAGGGGGGGGGGCAGCTGTAGACCCCTAATTTTGCCCGACCTCTCAATAAAGGCTAAGAAGGCTTCCTATTTGAAGATAAAGCTTCGGTGGACGTCTAACGGCATCAATCGACTTCCGAATAAAGAAAGGAAAGCTTCCCAGAAGTCCCAGAACACAAAATCTGGCCAGAACAGTCGAGATGGTCGTCCCAAAAGTCGGGATGGCCGTCCCAGCAAGCCCAGACGGTCGTCCCAAGTTCCAGATGGCCGTCTCAGCCTGTTTTGATGGTTGGGACGGTCGTCCCAAATCCCAGACGGTCGTCCCAGCTTCCCCAGACGCCCATCCCTGTTTTCCAGCCTCCAGACGGCCGTCCCAAAGTGTCAGGCTGCGAAAACTATAAATAGGAGGCTCATTTGCCACTTTTTCACACTCCAGACACTTGTCTTCTCTCCCTACTTTGAATGAACTCTCCGATTGCCTTAAAAAGGTAACAATCGGTTAAGGAATTGTATTCTAGCATTCGATTCTTCTTTAAAATTTAGTCGAGTCGATATTGTATTCGGGGAGGAGAGTCTTTGTAGAGCGGGGGATTACCAAAATGCATCCTCACAGTTAAAGATTCGCAATACAAAACTTGATACGGAGGTTCTTTTCAATTCTCTTCTCCTTTATTGCTTTATTTATTGTTTTATGTATGCAATATAAAATAAAATCATGTAGATAGCCATTTTTTAATATTATGCAATAAAATAAGGTAATAGCGTAATTTCTCGTAATCTTTACTTAATGAATGAATCCGTCATAAGGAACCCGAAAGGTGCGTTGTGGGGGTGCTAACACTTTCCCCACACGTAACTAACTCCCTTACCCAACTCTAGTTATAATGGCCAAGTTTGGTTTTTCTTAAAATCAACGCCTTTTTATCCTTTTCCAATGTTTACGGTCAAAACATTGGTGGCGACTCCATAAGAACCCTTTTGCGAAAACCTTGCTTCTATTAGAGGATAGTTCAGTTGTTGAGCACCTCGGAAGCAATGAACACATTTAAAAATAAAAACGCGAGTCTAAACCATCTTTTCACGACTGCTCGCATAAACGTTCGAGATGTCCCCAGACATCGGAACGGACGGCGGCGACACTCCTATACTATTCTAATCTCAAAATTTGGTCTTTGTTTTGGAATTAATCTAGATGATGAACTTGTTGAGGTTGCAAGAGCTTCAAATGTAATTGATAATGCGACATTACACAAAATGGAATTTCTCATGGTTTACAACAGTTAGGTCTCTAAAGTAAACAATGATGATCATATTGAAGACAATGAAGTGGATGAAGTTGGCCCAAGCAGTTTAGTTGGAGAAGAAGGTGGAGAGTTAATCCCAATGATGCTAGATATGATTCCCTATGTATCACTTGTAGATCAAGGTATACCTCTCTCCTAATTTGAAAGAACCATGTTATCTTCCTTGGATTACTATAAGAAGGGCAGAGAAGACATATGCAAATGAGTTTGCTCTTCAAATTGAACACTATAGACTATAGGAAGAATCCATTGCACATTTTTAGGAAATTAATAATTAATTGGAGGTTATCTACAATGGGATGGGAGATCTATCAAGGTCCATGGGAGGACTAGTATCTCCCAAATCTTTCTCCTTATTTCTTCTATCTATCTATGCTTGTTGGGATTGTAATATTATTGGTGTTGCGCCAGGAACAAGTTTTTTTTCTCTCTTATTTTATGTTATGGGTTGTATGGATAACTTATAAACTGCTAAAATTTTTCATTCTCTCTTTAATTGAAGTCAAAAAGGGAGAGAAAGTTCTAGATGTACGCAACACACCACACACATGTACGTGGATGTACATGACACACACCACACACTCTTTAATTACTAGACGACGTATAAATAGATATATAGTATTTCATTTGAATATTCTATTCAAATGAATATAAATAGAATATTCAAATGAAATTCCAATTTTTATATTTCATTTTTTCTATTTTATCTCTTTTAGTTTCACAATGTACCACCATATAAGTATAAGATATAAGATTTTTCTAATAGAAGAACTCCCCTTCTAATGTAATGTGTTATAGTTTTTTTTTTTAAGAACTGACCCATTCCCCTTTTTATATGCTTGACAATCCAAAAGAATTATGAGGGAGGGTCATTTTGTTTTTAATCTAGAATAAAAAGAACGTCAAGAAATGAGAGAATTAAGAATACCCACTAGAAACACTAATCTAATCCATAATGATGTATCGGAAAATAGAATATTTTTTTTTATTTGACCAACCTTCCGGAGAAGCAAATACAACAGGTACATTAATCAATAAAATAAATGAAATAGCAATTAATGCAAAAACAACTAATTGAAAAGCAATAGTCATGTTTCTAATCCTCCAATTTACCAACAAGAGAACTTTACCATTTGATCCCCCAACCCTTTGATCCCTTTATTGACAAAAAAAATTTGTAAAAACGCAAAAGGGTTTTATCATGAATTCATTGATTTTTTATGATTTTTTATAAACTCTTTTGAGGCTTAGATCGAGGATCGTTTTTTTTTTTTACTTCACAAAAAGGCAGGCTGGATTTTGCACATATATACATATCGATAGAAAACTAAAAAAATAGATTCATATTGAATATGTTTCCTATGGATAGAAAATAAAAAGGGCATCAATTCATATGTTCATGGTCTATTCAGTGGAATAAAGATAAAATAGATATAAATTAGCTTTTGGAGAGATGACTGAGTGGTTGATAGCCCTGGTCTTGAAAATCGGTATAGTTTGAAACAAAGAACTATCGAGGGTTCGAATCCCTCTCTCTCCTCTTTCTCGGTGAATAGATTTATTTATTTTCTTAGTTTCTATTGAATTTTTTTTTTCGGGATGATATAGCCCAGTCCGAAAAAAAAGATTCGACAGAAACTAAGAAAAAAGGAAAAAAATTCTTTTTGCAATACAAATCGCTCAACTCAACCCAATATTTGTAGTAAAATCAAAGTGATTTCTACTTCATTGGGTCTCATGTATCAATTAAGAGAATTCATGAAAAGAACAAGTTCAAAATCGCGATCAATTCCTTTTTCAAATCCTGCGACAGCTGCGCGAGCTCTTCCCACGTGACATAAATGACCTACAAATAGAAAGAATCCTAGAACAAAATGAGAAGTAGCTAACCAACTTCTAGGAGAAATATAATTGACTGCATTAATCTCTGTAGCTACGCCATCCATGAAATTTAAGGAACTTAAAGGAGCATGGGTCATATATTCTACAGAACGACGTTCTTGCCAAGACTGTATATCTTTTTTCAGTCTACTCAAGTCTAAACCATTAGGACCCCTTAGAGGTTCTAACCCAGGAGCATGCAAATCCCAAAAACACATAGTTTCTCCCCCAAAAATCACTTCTCCAGTCGGGGACCGTATTAGATATTTACCTAAACCTGTAGGTCCTTGAGCAGATCCTACATTAGCTCGAAGACGTTGGTTTTTAACTAGAAAAGTAAATGCTTGAGCTTCATAACCATAGAGCTAAAAGCCTTATGTCTTTGGGCTATATATGCATAGGTTATATCCTCCTATAAACATATCTCTCTACTTGTTTGATCATATTTTAAGTTTTGATGAAAGTCTCTTTGAAAAACTGGTTTTTACTTTTAATTTATTAAAATATTCTTGATCAAAAAATTAATAGATTAAAAAGTCATTTTAATGATTAATTTCATTAAAAAACAAAGTTGTGTGCATCATGATTTAATTCTTCAAAATAAGCTTTTAATGAATTAAAAAATTCTTAATGAAATTTTCATGTTTGGTGGTTTGCAAATTTAATTTGTTAAAATTCATTTTAATATATTAAAGTGTTCTTAGCGACTAATGATTTTTTTTTGGCAAAAACTGTTTTAATAGATTAAATCTAGCTTTAATAGATTAAACTTTTTCTCAAATTTTCTAGTGTTTTGATGTAATTTACTTTAATTAATTAAACATGTTTTTAATATATTTATTATGGGCACTTCACTTTGTAAGATTTTAAAGTTTTTTAGTCAATCGATTCAAATGGTTTTAATATATGTTAAAATCATCTAATATTTTTTTTGACAACTTTTATACCGTTCTATTTGAATTGATTAAAAGTTTAATTTAATTTATTTCACTTCTAAATGAAATTATCATATTAAAACGATAAACCAATTTATTAAAATTAATAGAAAATGCTATATAAGACTTTGTTTTCACCATTCGATTTTCATTGATCTTTAAGAGAAACTTGTGCCCACTTTTTGTAAGACATCAACACACAATTTCAGAATAAATCTTGGAGGTTTTCTTGAAACCTATTTGGTGATCATACTTATATACTTCACTTGATTATTTCTTTCTTTGTGCACCATTGTCACATTTCCAGGTACTATATCAACTTTGTGTTCTCTTATAATTGTTTTGGTTAACAATATCCATGATTGGGGTGACCTGGGTATTGCAGTGGTGATTGGATTTGGTTATTGCTTCTGTCAAGAGTTGTTGTTGTGTAAAATAATGTCTTATTGTAGATAGGTATATAGGTAGTGGTTGTAAACTATTTTGTTATAATGGAACTCTATTTATATAATTCTTTTTATCTCTTTCTCCTTTAATTATTGTTGAAATATGGTATTGAATTTCTTGTTTAGTACATTCATATATTCAATTGGTTTTTTAAAAATTCACTTTTTTTTTTCATTTCTTACTCTGTTAAAATAATGTAAAAAAATTTTAAGACTTCAATTCACTCTCTTTAACTTAGTCACTAATTCTAATAATATTAATATTAAAATTTGAAAATCTTGAAAAAAAAAATCACTTTAAATGATAGAAATCTTGTTTTCAAAAGTGTCTTTATATCCTGATCCTCCGATATTTTTTATAATATAATTTATTTAATAAATAAGATAAACTTTGAATGTGAACCTATCATTTCTTATAGGAAATGTTTACAACTACACCAACCAATTATATTAGTATAATAATAGTATTTATTATTATATTAATATAATTAGATGTTTGGATGTAAAAATATCATAATCTTTTTATAAAGTATAAACATGTGTTACAAGACATTTCCCTCATAATTTTGTCATCTTATGCTATGCATGCACTTTACATTTTTAACCTCAATTTCTTCCTATATATGCAGTGGGAGTGGCTCCCTTTGTTAAAGTGAGGAAGTTAATGCGACAACTTGGACCATGAAACTCTTCCGCAACCTCTGCTCACTGTTGGCACTTTTCTTCTTCTTCCAAGGAGGAGTTTCCATAGGTCCCTTGCAATTGACACACCCACTTGACCCCTTAACAAAGCAAGAAATCACCCTCGTCCAAACCACACTCCTAAACAAATACCCCACCAAAACAAACCGTGTCCACTTCCACTACGTAGGCCTCGACGACCCCGACAAAGTCACAGTCCTCAAATGGCTCTCAACCGGCGCCGAAACCACACGCAACGCCTTCGTCATCGCCATCATCAACTCCCAAATCCACGAGCTCACAATAAATCTACGATCCTCCGAGGTGGTGTCCGACAAGATCCACCGCGGAAACGGGTTCCCCACCTTAACGTTGGAGGAGCAAAGCGAGGCCGTGAAACTGCCCCTCAACCATGGTCCCTTCGTCGAGTCTGTAAAAAAGAGGGGTTTGAACTTGTCTGAAGTGGTGTGCTCTGGCTTCACCGTGGGGTGGTATGGCCAAAGTGAGAACAAAAGGGTTTTGAGAATCGAGTGTTTCATGAAGGAGGAAACCCCTAATATCTACGTGAGGCCCATTAATGGAATAATCATTGTGGCTGATCTTGAACAGATGAAGATCGTTGAGTATCATGATAAACTTGTTGAGCCTGTTCCCAAGGCGGAAAACACCGAATACCGGGCTTCGCATTTGAAGCCACCGTTTGGTCCTAAGCTTCATTCCTTTGGCTCGCATCAACCCCAAGGACCAGGTTTCACCATCAAAGGACACAGTGTGAGGTATAACAGTTTTTCTTTTATAAACATATATTAAAATATCAAATATTAAAAATCAAGACATGTATGGCTGAGAGATCTCACGCTGTTTTTACAATTCTGCAGAGAGTTTTAATCCATATACTAATCATTAGCAAAATTCATTTGGTTCCATGGCAGCCATTTCTTTGACAGGAAAAAAACCGCTTGATAGATTATATTTGATGATAACGAAACAAACACACACACAATAATTTGACTGTAAATAGAAAGAGACAAATCTACAGAGGAATGCAGGAATGGAATATTTTTTGTTTTCAAACCAAACTCCTCCCGTACAACTGATTCTTATATTAATAATTTTTTTTTTTAAATATATATTTTTCTACAACTTTCATTTTATCTATCTATCTATATATATATATATTTTTTTTTTTTTTTTTGTTGTTGTTGTTGAAGTTGTCAGGTAATCATGTCTCTACATGAATGACCTTTGGTTTTTGAATGTTTTTGTCAAACAAAATTACGGCTTTACTCATCTATCCGAATATTAAATATAATCATTTATTGAATTATTAAGATAAAATTTAGTTTAATAAAAAAAATTATCTAAATTTTATACAAACCTTGGATTTCGTATTTTTATTATTTTAATGCTTTCTGACATTGATATTTCATCAAACACTTAAAGTTCCTCTGAGGTACACAATTTACATTAGAAAATAAAACGTCAGATTTAAATGGTTGATGGAAAAAAATAAAAATTAATTAAAACAGAAAACGTGATTAGTGTCGGAAAGTGCTAGTAATCTTTGATAATGAAACAAGTGAAATCTATTCATGACATGAAAAAAAATAAATCATAAACTCTCTCCTTTATGTGGAAGGCAAGCTGTTAATATCCTTTATGTTTCTTAGCATCTCATATCCTTCCAATAAAGAGATAAACCACATTATTAGTCAACTATCCTTTATCTGGTCTTTCATTTACACTAAGAATATATTTAAAGAGTTGTTATGGAGAATTGTTTAAGAATAAAAGTAAAAATTTTATTATAAGTTTTATATTTGAATTGTTTAGAAATGGAAAAAGTTATTTGAAATTGACAAAAAATTATTTATATAAATAATTTTAATTAAATTTTAAACAATTTAATTGTAAGATTTACAATAACTTTTAAGGACCTGTCTTAGAGAAATAATATTTTTTTAAGCAATTTTCTGAGAGTTGAATAAAAGTAACTATTTCCCAATTGTAATTCAGTTTCAAACACTATTAAGTCTTCATTCTAGGTATTGGAATACTTCTCAATTACTTGATCAATTGTTAGAACTCCAACTGATAAAAAGTTATAATAGGTATAGTAAGTTATTAAGTTTCACGTTCTTATGATTCATGCGTATGGTTGGTGTTTCCATGTTTTGTTCAGCTGGGCCAATTGGAAGTTTCACATAGGGTATGATGTGCGAGCTGGAGTGATAATTTCAACAGCATCAATCTACGACCCTGAAGTGCATAAATCTCGTTCAGTGTTATACAGAGGCTATATTTCTGAATTATACGTGCCATACCAGGATCCAACTGAAGAATGGTATTACAAGACTTTCTTTGATGCTGGTGAATTCGGGTTTGGTCAATCCATGGTTTCTTTGGAACCCTTGCATGATTGTCCACCACACGCACAATTCTTAGATGTGTATCTTGTGGGAAGGGATGGTAGCCCTCAACAGTTGGAGAATGCAATTTGTGTGTTTGAACAATATGGTGGTATCAGTTGGCGTCACACTGAAACAGCCATTGCTGATGAGGAAGTAAGTATATATATTGGTATTCTCTTTTCTAACTTCACAATGGAAAAATATAAGGATAGCTTTACTTCCAGAATATTTGTTCATCCTTTCTATTATTTTATTTGTGTGTAACTTGGTCGGAATTGAAACTAAACATGCATTTTTTTTTCAGATACGTGAAGTTAGATCTGACGTGACTCTAATTGTTAGATCAGTGGTTACAGTGGGAAACTATGACAACGTCATGGATTGGGAGTTCAAACCAAGTGGTTCAATCAAGCCTGCTGTAAGTTTTGTTTACTCTAGTTGTGTGCCACTTTAATCATCTATCTGTTGTGATGGACGACCCTTGTTTACGTTGTAAAATAGTACAAAACCTAAAGCTTACTATACTAACGTGGAAGTATTCCAATCTTCTACGTTTTTAAATGTTTTCAAGTCACAATCACCGGTCACGTTAAAAATGGAAATGAGTTTGTTATCATGTTACACTTATAAATAGACTATTTTATATTTTTTTATGTTACCTTAAAAAAAAATGTGATTCATCTTCTCTTTTTTTTTTTTTATCGTAAGTTATGTACTTAAAAAATGTCTAACAAATTCATCAGATTCTGGTAAGTTTTTAGAAATTCCTATTATATTTTAAAAGTAATTGGGCACCGGTTCTGGAGGACTTACACAAACACTATAGATAAATAATTTTAAAGACAATAACTATCAGAAATCAAGTTGTGTTTTTACAACTTTGACATTAACTTTTCCATAATAACTTGTACTGAGTTTTATTTTTCTATATCTTCGTACAGATATCACTGTCGGGTATGTTGGAAGTTAAGGCAGTGAATATTACTCATAATGATGAGATAAAGGATGAGCAACATGGCGTGTTGGTAGCAGAACACAGCATTGGTGTTTACCATGATCATTACTACATATACCATCTTGACTTTGACATTGATGGTGTGGACAACTCCTTTGTGAAGACCAATCTGAAGACCGTGGAAGTGAGTGACCACAGTTCAAAGAGAAAGAGCTATTGGACAACTAGTAGTGAAATTGTGAAGACTGAATCAGATGCAAAGACGAAACTAGGGTTTAGTCCATCGGAGCTAGTAGTTGTGAATCCTAACAAGAAGACTTCCACTGGAAACGAGGTGGGGTACCGTTTGATTCCAAATGCAGCAGTTCATCCACTTCTCACAGATGATGACTACCCTCAAACACGTGGTGCTTTCTCCAATTACAATGTTTGGGTTACACCTTACAACAAGACTGAGAAATGGGCTGGTGGATTATATGTTGATCAGAGCCGTGGGGATGATACATTAGCTGTTTGGACTAAGCAGTAAGCATCATACCTTTCAAAACAGTAACAAAACACACTTTAACATTGATTATCATAAAAGTATCGAGAGATTAAAACAGATTCAAAATGAGAAAATTTTGAGACCAAACAAAATGTTTTAACTATTGCAATGTCATGAGTTAAAATATTGTTGAATTTGCATGAACATAACAGTGCTTTTGAAATTGAAAAAATTGCAGGAATAGGGGTATTGTGAACAAGGACATTGTGGTGTGGTACGTAGTGGGAATCCACCATGTTCCGTGTCAGGAAGATTTTCCATTAATGCCCTTATTGAGCACTGGATTTGAATTGAGACCAACAAATTTCTTTGAGAGGAATCCGGTCCTGAAGACCCTTTCTCCTGGCATTGTTAAATGGCCAGCTTGTGAGAAGCCATAGACATGCTTTTGCTTTGCTTTCTCACTTTAAGCACATTAATTGTCGAGAAAGTGGTAAGTTTGAATAAATGTTAGAGGGGTTAGGGACAAGTTGGCATGAATCAAGCGCATCTATGTCTAGAACAGAGGTGTTGTTGTTGTTGTGATGATTTAATGGTTTGAATTCGATTTAAAATCATTATGTTCAGTGGCTGCTACTTTTTGTGTGTAAAAAATGGTTTTGTTGTGTGCTTCTTAAATTTTGACTACATTATGTCCAACTATATAACTAACCATTAAACATGAAGTAATTATAACATGTCCAGTAAACAAAATCTGTATTATGTATCAACCTTTTGTCAAATATAAGATCCACTTAAAATGATTTAAAATTAATCTGACTTGGTGTTCAGATATCTTTTTAGAGGCTTTTGTGATATATTCAATTAAATAGGTAATAAGAGAACGAGGCTTGAGATTTTTATTTTTCTCTGTTTTCTATTTATTTTTACTGATCACTTTGTTGTGACTGAAGATTTAAAGTTGCTAATCTTTTTTTTAAATTCTTCAAAATTAGAGAAAACTAAAGTTAATCTATCTCTCTCTCTCTCTCACTCACTCTTTTTATATATATTAGACATATTACAATAGAAATGTCAAAAAGCACTTTAAACATCTGCTTTAATGCTGTAAAAAGAACATTTGTTTTGATATATACTTACCATTATCTAAAATTTTCAGAGAAATAATTATTAAGTAAAAAGTTGAAACTTAAGTTTATAATTTTTAATTATGATGACCGATCGAGCATTGCTAATATTTTTCAATTTACAAACAAACATTTCATATAGTTTTCTAGTTGAAAATAATATTGCACCTCGTAAAGAATGTTCATTAAACAAACATTTCTAGTATATTTTTAACATTTTCTACCTTCTATATTTCTCTGTGTACTTTTTTCTTCAAATACTTATTAAATTTGTATTTTAGTTACCTTTCATAAACAAAATTATATTATATTTTTAACTATTACACAAATCAAGATAATAGAAACATTTAATTAAATGCATATTTTTTTATTAAACTTAATTTATATTACTTTAAACTATTTATAATAGAATATATATATATATATATATATATATATAATATGAAAAAAATATAATAATCAAATATAAACAATAAACTCAAAAAATTATTTTATAATTACAAATTCCAAAAAATAAATAAATTATAAAACACAAAATATAATTTGATTAAATTTAATATAAAATAATATTTTATATTTTTATTTTACAAATTAATTTCTTAAATAATATATTTAAAATAAAAAAATAATATAAATAAAATATCTATAAGTTTATTTACTCAACTAAACTTGTTTATCATAGTTCTTAAAATTAGATCAATCATCAATCCAGTGAACGTATGAGTTTAAGGTTCAAATGCTTGAACCGGAGTTTAATCAAGAATTTAATCGGATTTAATAAAATAATGTATTTTAATAATATAATAATATATTAAACTTAAAATAAGTTTATCATAACATAATATCAATTTTAATTCAATATAAATGCTATTTGAAAAAAAAACATATAATAATAAGAATGATTTGTAGAATACATCAAGAAAAGTAACATGAATAAAATATATGATCAAATATATGGAGTACAAAACAATTAGAGAAAAAAATTGTGGTTGTACCTAACTTGAAAATAATTAGGGGAAAAAATACATTTAACTTCAAATTTAATCCATTTTATTTCATTTCAAGACTTGATTATGGAATCAAATGATATCTCACTAGTCACTCATCAAATTAATTTTTAAAATTAAGAGATTATGATTCTTACATGTTATTGTACTTTCATAAATGATTGTTATGATGATTGTAGTGATGATAATAATAGATAACAACGGCAGCAAGGGCGACACCGGAAGGAGACAATCAAAAGTAGTTGGTATAGCAGTAACAATGATAATTTTAAGAACAAAGATTATAACACAAGAAGAATATCACTACTAGTACAAAAAATAACTTTCTCTCTTCAAGTTTATATGTGTTAAACTAAAAAAAAATAATATATAGAACAAAATGACGTCATTTAGCTCTTTGAACAAAAAAAAATATAGGCGATCCCTTGATCTGTTCAGTTCCATCAGTTTTTTCTAATTTTTAATCAATTTATCTAGTTTTTTTATCGGTTCATCATTTATCTAATTTTTAGGAAGTTCCAAATCGGTTATTACTTCGGTTTGGTCCAATCGGTTGAACCATTCGGTTTGATCCAATTTTGATAATCATACTATTTATTGTTCATATACAAAATTTAAATAGTGACAAATAAATTCTTCTAATATAATACCATTATTTTGCTCTCTTTCCTAATTTATTTTTATATTTTTTCTCTCTTCGTTTATTTCTCCTTCTCTACTTGTTTTCTTTTCTCTTTTATTCTTCTATCACTTATCTTATTCTTTTAATTAAAATATTAAATTAAAATTTGTTAAAATAAATATTTTATTATTTTTAAAAATAAAATATTTAAATTATGGAAAAAAATTATAATTTAGTATATTACATTTTAAAAAGTATTATATTATAAATATTTGAGATATTACAAATTATTGTTACAATTATTAAGAAAATATATAAGTCTCCATAAGTAAAAAAAAAACATATAAATTTTTTAAAAACCAATATTAAAGTTAAAAAAATAGGAACTAATTATTTAAAATTATGATATAACAGTAAATAAGTAAATAATTTTATTTACGATAATATAAATAATTAATTTTAAATTATTTTATTATAATAAATCAATTATTCATCTAATTAAAAATATTAAATATTTATGAGTTAAATATATTTTTTATTTTATAATTTCATTTATTTATAATTAGGTTGAGTTAAAAAGATTAATCATGTAATTTTAAAAAATATTTATTAAAAATTACTTTAAAATAAATATTTAATTTTTTTAATAATTATAACAATAATTTGTAATACCTTAAATTAATAATATAATATTTTTAGATAATTTAAATATTTTTTAATTTTTAAAAATAATAATAAAAATCATTTTATTAAATTTTAATTTAATATTTTTTTAAGTAGAAGAATAAGAGGAGCACAGAAAAATAAAAGAGGGAGGAAAAAAAATAAGAGAATAAAAAAAGAAAAATAATAAGAAATAAATGAAAAGAGAAAAAAAATATTTATATTATATAAAAAATATTTTCATTAATTAATTAAATAAATTTATATATTTTATTTAAATAAATTTTTATTTTAAATATACTATTTAAGAAATTAGTTATGGGGTCATACATTATTCACCTATCAAACAACTATTTTTGCATTCCTTAAAAGATAAATATTGAATAAATAAAGAAAACAACTATTTTCTATAAAGGTCTACCTTTTGTCGTTTTTGGCCTTACTCTTCACTTTATACGCACCCGTTTCTCTCGTTCTCTCTCTCCCCTTGGTGTAACCTCCTATATTCCCTCTCAACAACATTTAACATGCCAATGCTCACCAATTTCTACGCCATTCAAGATTTATCCCGGCACAACACCAAAGACGATTGCTGGATCCTCGTTGATGGAAAGGTACTACCTTTTCCACCGATACTACTTTCTCTCGCTAATTCCCAATCTGGGTTTGCCCTTCTTGCTTTCATACCTTCTATTGTATATAAAAGATGTGCCTTTGCTCTGCCCTTTGATAATTGCTGTTTTCTTTTCTTTAGTATTGTTTTTTCCTTTAGGCTTCTTTGTAGCTCTTGATTTGATTTATGTTCAATGGTGGTATTGGGATATGTAATTTAAGGTTTTGAACATTTTGGTTGCTTTTCTATATAAATGAACTAATAAATGGATGATTTCCTAACTATCTCTGATACTTCTCTATGATCTTGTTCTCAGTTGAATAAAAGGTAAAAGTTGATACTTATTGAGCCTTTTCCCCATCAGAAATTTTGATGTTCTGATGTTTTGGGGTTGGGGGGCGGGGGGGGGGGGGGCGGAATCAGTTGATTAAAAAGTTAAAAATTGATGCTTGATTGTGGTTTTACCACATATCAAAATCAGGAATTCTGTAATGCTGATGTTGGTTGTATTTTCTGTCTGCATTCAATTGCTTTTACTTGTTATTACCTTCTCCATGATTTAGAAATGTTGGAATAATGATATATTGGGATTCTTATTTGTTTTACAAGTGTTATTATGTTTGGAATTTTATTGTTCTCAGCTTGAACTGGTTGAGGGTAGTACTTTACCTATAATATTTAGTACAAACATGGACAATGTTGTCTAACCTGAGAGTTTAAACTCATGGAACCTTTGTAGACTCGATTCAATATAAAAGTAATGTTGAAAAACTATAATTACATTTATGCATAAACTAAACTAGAATTTTAAAGTTATGCACTTACACTGTCAACAAACTAGAAATTACTGTTGGTATGACTCTATGGTAATTATTGTAAACGACAACCAATATACCATGCATAATAGTTTGTGATTGGTGACAGTGTTAAATTGTTTTGCACTATCATATAACATATTTCTCCTTACATAATAAGTTAACAATTATCATTTCAAATGAGTGCCAATTGTGCTCACACCTAGAAGAGCTAAAACTCAAGCATAGAACGAAAATAACAAGCCCTTTCAATTCTCAACATCTATCCCCAACTATTCCATGAAGCACAGCCTTCCTATATACTTATGCACCATCTAATATAATCTGCATATTAATTTTGTTGAGTAATGTGCTGTTCTGAAGTGCTTAATGGACAATGAATGCATAATAAAGGCCATATTGAAGACATTTTAAGATAATTGAATTGTAATGATGAAGCCTTTATGTTTGTAACTGTTATAGCATTTTAAGGGTTATTTTTGAGTTTTTATAATACCTTTGAATATAAGACAAATTGTAAGAACAAAGAAAGAAAAGAAAAGAAGAGAAGAGAAATAATAAAATAGAGAGCAGTTCAGTCCCCTCAAATTATCTTCCTCTAGTTTAAAAATATTCTACACAAGTTTGTACAATCTTATAGAAAATAAGTTTTTTGAGAGTTGTATCAACACCACCTCTTGAATATTGCCAACAAATTTTAATTTTCTTCTTAGCATGTCACATTTGAAATTTAACCATCTTATATGTAACTATTTCTTCTAATATAATATGTTTGGTATTTGTAGTTATGAACGTATTAGGAAAATTTTTGAGAGGTGGGATAACTAGATTCATGGCCCTTTGCATGTAGTTGCATTTGTCTTAATCCCTAATTACACTATGAAGTTATCTTTGGAAATTGTGGGACTAAGGTTAAAAGAGGGTTATATATAATGTTTTGGGAAGATTGGTAAATGGTGCTACCAAAAGGAATGAAATTAATATGCATCTTATAAATTTTAGTTATGCTAGAGGGGTTTTTTTTATATTGATGGCACAAAAGCATGTAGGAAAACTATGCTTCCTAGTGAATAGTGGGAGATGTCTGTCGATGAATATCTTGAATTGAAGAGGCTTTCATGTTCTAAGTTTGACCTGTAGCTATTTTGGGTGTGAGTAGAATCTTATTTGAAATGGTAATTGAAGTTTATGACTTTGTTTGAAATAGGGGTTTTTAATTTTCTTTGTTTGGTGTTACAAAATCATAAAATCTTGGTTCTTAGATATTTTTTCTAGGTTCATACATAGAGAATAAATAACTTGCATTAAAAAAACATGAATGACTCTTTGAGGTACAACTGAAAGTTTAAAAGTAGGGAAAAAAGAACAATTCTTATTCTTCCATTTGATGTTGAATGGATAACTAAAGGGAATAGTGTTGAGCATGAGCGGACCCATGGTGATGGCAACATTGTTGACTTGGAACTTCAAGTAATCCAAACTTCAAATACTTGAGATTTATAATTTGGTTCTTGATGCTAAAGGTGTTTTTTCATCTGAGAAAGAACTTGATGGCGTTGAAGATATACTGGATCTGTTTGTTTTAACTTTTTTAGATAAAGAAATGTTTTTTAAAATAAAATAATCACTTATTATGATTTTTACATGTCTGGGTAAACTTATTTAAAAATGTAGAAGCAGAAAACAGTTCAGCATTTTTTAAGAAGCAACATGGAATTGTTTATCATAAAAAGCAGATGCAGTTAAAAGAGAATTTTTTTTCTGAAAAACAAAATTTATATAAGAATCACGTATACTACATTTTACCAAACGTGAGGTACTCTTAGTCCTTCGTCAGCTACTAAAAACATGTTATAGTCAAGATACAAAGACAAAAATATAATAAAATTTAGAATTTGAGATATTTTGTGGGATTGAAATAATATTTTACCCTATGCTTATTGTAGAGTCAAAATGTTCAAAAGGTAGTTATAGGGGTATTACGGTCATGCATAATGTCTATATATATTAAAAAATGTATCAACTTAGCATGTGGTTTATATGGTTGTATGATCACCATGTTATATGCTTTGTTGCTATTTGGTCTTGCTGTGTAGCTTTTTGTGAATGTATGTGTTTATTCACCAACTTGGACATAATGATCACCATGTTTATTCTTGAGTGGGTGTGGTTCTTACTATATTGTTTTGTATAGTTTAAATCTGTTCCTATAGGTTTGCTATATTCTTTTCCACCCACAAACTGTTGATCCAGCTTATTCAAGCCCCTTTGTAAATCAGATCAGCTTCTGTTTTTCTCAATCCAGACTTGTCTGTTAAGGTTTTTGAACCCAAATTCAACCTCATGATTGTTCTAGCTGCTTGAAACTTCCAAGGCTCTCCACAAATGTCTTTCCTAATTTTCTCCATTGCCTTTTGTTGACCTGTTTTGTCATTTGCCAATTCAGGTATACGACGTGACACAATATTTGGATGATCATCCTGGTGGAGATGATGTCATCCTTGCTGCAACAGGTCCTTCCTTTGCTTCCTATATTTTTTTATTACACTATGGACTGCATCCAAAACTAGGCAAAAATTCATCCAATGTCTGTATATTCAAAATCTAAATGCACCTTTGTACTTTAACTTTGATGAAGGAAAAGATGCAACAGAAGAATTTGAAGATGCTGGCCACAGCAAAAGTGCAAGAGAACTCATGGAGCAGTATTGTATTGGTGAGTTCGACCCAATTTCCACCAAGCAACGTTATTCTGAAAAGTTGATGCAGTTGACAAAGCAATATTGGACTGTTCCGGTAACCGTTGTTGGTATCTCAGTGGTTGCTGGTTTCTTATACTTGCGTAAGAAGTAACACTTCACAAGTCTGCAATTCAATTCTTATTATTGTTGTAACCAAAATGCATCATTGCAACAAATTTTGTATTGTATTGCTTTAAAGGATAGATCTATCTCATTAGAAAAGACTGGCTTAATTCAAAATATATATTAATGATTATCAAACATATTCTCTTTCATGTTTATTGATTAATTTTCAGAATCTTATTTTTCTTAGAAGATTGAATGGTTCCTTTGCCTTTTTATCTTTGTTTTTGTTCTCAACAGTGACTCTTCAAATTTACATGCATGCTTCTGGAACCTGGAACTGTTTTTTTTTTTTTTTTCTTAGATTGTGAGATATGGTCTACCTGCATCGTGGACTGGTGCAGAACTGCATATGGACCTTTTTAACTTGTATAACATCTCTATAATGCTTGTTAAGTTTGGATCAAACTTCATAAATATTTTAATTTTGGAAAAATATGAAGAAAAATTAAAGTTAACTTCTTCATAGATAATAATTTGAGTTAAAAATTAATAAGAAATCAAATTTAAAAATTAGTCAATACATATTTAAAATTTTGTTCATCCATCAATCGAGTTTAATTAAAAGTTTGAGTTTCACCTGTTTAATTTATTTATAATTTAATTAAAAATAAAAATATCTCATTTATATTTGTGTATTTGACCCATTTATACTCTTAATTATATTAATATAAGATTTGATTATGATTTTATTTGTATACATATTACAATCACATTGAATGATATTTTTTTTTCCCAATTTCTATTTAAACATCAATTCAAACCAGTATATTTAAGTTTTGTTTGATTTTAGAAAAAAGTGAACGTAAATAACATTTTGATTCTTATAAAATATATCAATTTAAATCATAGTTACGACAAATATCTAAGTTAGTTATCGTAAATATCACATTTTATTATCACATTGACATGTTCAATGTTATAGAAAATGATAACTTTATCCCCTACGATGAGAGTTTGGTGGACGCTAGAAGAACAGAGGTAGAAGTGCTCTATCATAATTCATGTATTCCAAGGAGATAAAGAATTTGAAATCTCTTACCAAATAACTTAATGATTTAAAAGGATTTTTATAAACTAAGTCTAATTCATTAGACATCTTACTAAAACTCATGATATTTCAAAAATGGAAAATCATGAGCTAAAAATCAACAAATAAAAGTTGGACAAAGAATACAGAGACTTTGGATGGGGTTACACAGCTTATGATTTTAACTAATGAAGACTATACTTGACCAATATTTATGATTTAGAGACTGTGTAATGATATAAAAGATCATGATAACAATTTTAATTCCAAAATTTTAAGATATTATATTTATGATTTTTTTTCACTTATACATTATTCAAGTTTATCACATATAACTTCAACTCACACTTAGTTCTATTTTTTTTTTTAAAACAAGAAAATAGAAGATCAAATTATATCCTCAAACTAAAAAAAAAAAACTAGAGAAGAGTCTATTCTCATTAGATGAAACTAACATAATAAATGGGATACTAAAAATTTCACATCCTTGACCGTTGAGGAGAAAAATTACTTGACCTTAATAATATCAAAGAAACCTCGTCAGAGATCAAAATTAGGCTATTAAGTAGAGAAAATTCAAAAATAACATTCTAGGAAGTTCTGTCATACTTGTGGTAAAGATAATCATGCATCACCCAAATGTTCCAAGAGAGGGTTGTTTATATCTTCTAAAGATAACAATAAAAGACATAAGTCTATAAAAGTAATTAAATTCAAAATAATTTATCTTGCACATATATTCAGTAGTAGAAACATATCTATATGGTGGTACTTGACCAGTGGATGTTCATAAATATACTAAATTATTATGACATTTTAATTTTTTTTATTTTTCTATAAATATATTTAATATGGCTATGTGTTTTCTTTCAGTCGCGTAAAAGTATTTATTAATTTTTGATCTCAAACATTTTCTAACCATTTCTTTAAGTTATTATTTTTAATTATGCTTAGTTTAAAGTTAAAATGAAAATATAAATTAATATAATTAAGGTAAAAAAAAAAGATTATAAATTAAGATAATCGGATTTTTTTTGGTACATATATGGTTAGTTTAGTTATGAGGGTGTTGTTTTAATTATTTAATTAATATTTATTGATACAAATGTAATGCATGTAGAATCATTCAAAAAGTCATAAACAGAATATAATAAATTTATTGTATAATAAATATAAAATTTAATATTATATAGAATACATATATATATATATATATATATATATATATATATATATATATATATAGTAATGCTTAAAAAAAAGGAAGGAAAGCAATTAATAACAAATACTTACATGTGTAAAGTACATTAAATTTTATGTAATAGAGTTATTTTCCACTATCATAAATTAGCATCGACTTTTATTATTTTTTCTTTCTTTTCTTGCGATTCTTTAATTTAATTTTAGCCATTTTATTTAATGGTATGTGTCTATTATTAATTGGTGTCACTAATAGTGTTTTCCTTGTTTTTCAAATTTGCCCTTAAAAACCTGTGCCACATCAAATGTACCCATCAATTAATCACAACAGCTAGCAAAATCGTAGCAATCATGCACATATAAATATATATATGATTATTCATCCTATGTAACCAGCATTCCATCAAAGAAAGAGAACATAATGATGTTGATAGAATTTTGTTATGCCCTGGTCTTCATCTTTTGTGCATTATTTGCAGTGCTGAAATGGAACAACATAAGATATTCAAGGAAAGGAATGCCTCCAGGATCATTGGGTTGGCCTTTTGTTGGAGAGACTCTTCAATTTCTCACACAAGGACCAGATTTCATGAAAGGATGCAGATTGAGGTACCCTACAAAAAACACCTTGTGTTTTACAACTTTAAGATTTTCTAATTATATTTTCTTTTATTTATTTGATTTCAACACCCTTTTGCTTTCATTTAGATTTTGGTTTTCTTAATTACTTTTTCTATTTTATTTTTAAAATTTCATTTCATTTCTACTAATAAAAAAAAGCTTGTAATATTATTTTTCTAATTCCTATAAAATAATGTATATATATTTTATAAAAAAAAATCTTAATTAATAATAACTACTAAACAATTAAGGGTTGAGTCGATAGTATATTAAATTAGTTAGTATGTATAACGCGTGGATTTGATAAAACTTAACTATATTTATTACTTGTTTAAAATTAAAAAAAAAACATAAAAAAGTTTAAACAAATAGTTATATTTTAAAAAATAAAATCGATTTGATATCTTGTCTGTACAAGTGTATACATTTGTATGCTAAAAAGAAGTAGTTTAAGCATTTTAACATGTTTTTCTAATTTTTTTTATTATGATCAAATGTTATTATTTTTCTATCCTATTTGTGTCCATGTTCTTCGTCTAATAGTCAAAGCGAAACTGTCTCCTTTGCATGCAGATATGGAAATCTCTTCAAAACTCATGCATTAGGCTCTCCAATTGTTGTTAGCATGGATCCTGATACCAATAGATACATACTCTTGAATGAAGCAAAAGGCTTGGTTCCTGGGTACCCCGATTCCATGAGGAAGATCCTAGGAACTAACATTGCTGAGGTTCATGGTGCAGTCCACAAACGAATCAGAGGCTCACTGTTATCTCTCATTGGTCCAATGGCAGTTAAGGATCGTCTTTTGCCAGAAGTTGATGAGTTCATGAGGTCTTACCTTGACAACTGGGATGGTAAAATAGTTGATCTTCAAGAAAAAACAGTTGAGGTATGTATCAATCATATTGAGTTGATAACCCTTCAAAGCATGTTTGGTTCAATGGTAAATGCAAGATTGAATTATTACTTCTATTTTGAATAATGTTGAAATATGAAAGGAAGAATCAAAAGGTTAAATGCATATGTAAAACACTCACCGAGTATGTGTGTGTGTTCTTTGATTTTGTTTTTCTTTTCAGATGGCATTCTTTATTTCCATGAAAGCTGTGGTAGAAAGTGAGCCACACTCTTTCCTCGAGTCTTTCAAAGCCACATTTGATAAAATGGCAGTAGGAACAATATCCTTGCCATTTAAAATTCCAGGAACTGAATATTATCGAGGGATTAAGGTATATAAGATTTTGAAAAAACAAAATCAGATTATGCTTGCAATTCGAACTTATTTGTACTTTTTCTTGTATTGCACTGGAAGTTCATGTAGCAGCTCTTTTGTCGATTACAGGCCAGGGAAAAAGTGCTTACAATGCTAAGAGAGCTCATAGCCAAGAGAAGAGCTTCTTCAGCTACTCATGACGACATTCTTGAACACCTTATAAGAAATGAGGATGGCAAACACAAGTTAGATGATGAAGAAATAATGGAACAAATCATCACAATTTTGTATTCAGGTTATGAAACAGTATCAACTACTACAATGATGAGCATCAAATACCTTTGTGATAACCCTAACTTTCTTGAGGCAGTACGAGTGAGTTACTTTATCATGATCTTCACTATTAAAAGTAAATCATGGTTTAAGTTTCAAGTATTTGTGTGATCTAATTAATAGAAGTATTATACAGGATGAACATTTTGCAATCTTGCAAAAGAAATTGCCTGGGGAACGGATCAACTGGGATGACTACAAGAATATGAGCCAAACTCGTGCGGTACAAAGTTTCTCTATTTGGTCTAAAGTTCTAGAATAAAATGATTATAACCTCAGAGAATTTCCAAATTTTGAAAGGAAATATAGAAAAAATTAAGTATTTTTGTTTTTTGTGAAGGTGATACTTGAGACCATGAGATTGGCTAGTGTTGTTTCTGGAGTGATGAGGAGGACTACTAATGACATAGAATTGAATGGTATGTTTTCCAACTTCAGCCAAATTGTGTGGAAAGAACCTAAATCAATTGTTTGATTTGTTACATAAATTATGAGTTAGCTAACATTGAAGATGCCTATGACATGTTAGGGTTTATGATTCCCAAGGGATGGAGAGTTTATGTTTATACAAGGGAGACTAACTTGGATCCCATCCTTTATGAAGAACCTCTTACTTTTAACCCCAGGAGATGGCTGGTTAGTTGCTTAATTATAAACAATCACTTTGTTCTTATTTGAATAATAACAGCACTTGATATTGAATATAAAACATATGATGCAATGTAGGAGAAAGGGTTGGAGACTCATAATCACAACATGCTGTTTGGAGCAGGAGGCAGGGTGTGTCCTGGAAAGGAATGGGGCATGCTCAAAATTAGTCTTTTTATTCACTATTTTGTGACTAGATACAGGTACATTATTTTATAAACATGGATACTTTTTCTTTTCCACCCTAATATTGTTATTTTCTATCCTACTTTTAAACATTGAACAAAATTGTCATCTTAAATTGGTTTCAGTCATCATATTCAAATCAAAGGATTGGCATGGTGGTTATTAAGGAGGTGTATTATCACTTTGACTAACCACACTAAAAGAATACATAAAAAGATTATAAAAGATTTAAGCATTACGAGGCGTTGCAATTTTAGAATTTTGTTCATGGTAGCTCCTATTGTCATATCTTAGTCATAACTTGGGATTATTACATAGACTATCAAATTATGAATTCTCTTATTCTGTGTCAGCTTGACTCAAATTAGGGGTTTCAACATGAAATATATGTTATTTTATTCTCTTTTTCCCTCCCATTTTTCCATAGCACTCCTTTAATGGTCGGCATTTGTACGTCTTAATAAGATTAGTGTTCAAATAATTTTACAATTTAAATTAATTCGTTATTTCCCCCTAAGTTATAAAGTGTTTCTTTCTTCTTCTTTTTCAGGTGGGAAGAAGCAGAAGGAAACAAGAAACTTATGAAATTTCCAAGAGTCTTAGCACCAAAAGGACTACACATAAAAATCACAAAGTACTAGGAAAACAATTCAGAACTCAAATGTTTGTTTCCTGAACTCTTATGATTAAACTCTAATAATAAAATCACCGAGTGTTGAAATCTATTAGCAACGGTTGACACAGTAATACTTAGGTGTTTGCCATGAAGACAAATGCCTCTATTTTAAGATGGGTATGTATGATAAATATTCTTTAAATATATAAATATGATATATCTTTTTAATTTGCTATATTACAATAATTTTTTTATCTTCCATTTTTAAAAAATGTATTATAATGCACTCTTTATCTCTTGTTTTGAACTCCCCTTTAATGTTTTTTTTTATTTTTATTTTGTATCTATTTTTTATCCGAATAAAATTTCAAATTTTTTTACAATTTAGAAAGATGAGTATTAGTCTAATATATTTATTACTAACTCTCTTTTTTTTTTTACGTAAAGCCTGCAAAATAGTGAAGTAACGAGATTTACCCGAATAAGTAATAACTATTTTTACACATGAAACTGATAATTAGTATATATATATATATAATATTTAAAGTAATAAAATAACTATTTATAAAAGTTTCAATCCTCTGATGAATTTCATGTTATTTAAGAGTTGAGATTAACTCTTCTTTTAGTCTTTAATTAGAAGTTTGATATATATATATATATATATATATATATATATATATATATATATATATATATATATATATATGTTAAATCTCATTAATGAGACTAATTAACGGTGCTTTTTAAACATTTTCTTTTCTAAATTCATAAAAAGATCTTTTAAAAATAAATTTATGACAAATTAAAATTCTAAAACAGAAAATATAATAATGAACCCGTTATGAGATAAAGTATATTAGAATAATAATATTTATCAATATAGAAAATAACCATTTTATAATTTATATATGCTTATTTTGAATTATAAATTTCTTTATAAAATCTAGAAACATACACATGTTTGTATACTAATTTTTTTAAAAACAATGACATATTTCATAAATTTAAATTTTTGAAGTTATGATAATTAGTTTGATTTTGATACATATTGTAATTATATTTTATTATTAAAGAATTATATAATTCAAAGAATCATTTATAAATTTTTAAAGTTAATATCACAAATTTATATTATTTTTAATATTTGTTATAATTTTGATCAAATTATATTAATTTATTTCTCAAAATAATATATGTGAACAAAAGGCATTATGTTAAAACATCATTTCTAACTCTATTTTGGGCTGCAAGTTAAAACTTCAACAACCTTTCTATTATATTTATACACGTAATCGAATTTATTATGTTTGTTTAACCTTTATCTTATATAAACATAATATGTGTCTGTATAAACATAATAAAGACATTTTAGGGGGTGTTAGGTATTCAAGAAAAAAATTGATATCCAAAATTATAATTTTTGATAATTATGTTTCTTAAAAATATTAAAATTTGCTTGACTGCTAAATAATATTAATATAGATATTTTAGATAAATAATAATAATAATAATAATAATAATAATAATAATGATAATAATAATAATAATAATAATAAGTTATTGTAAAATTAATATGGTAGTACACTATAAAAGGGTGAATTGGTGTAAAGAAAAGAAGAAGTAAATTTAATAAGTACTTTTCTTAAAATAAATTTTGAATTATCTAGAAAATAATTTTTAAAAACAATTTTAATATCTTTAAAGACAAAAAGAAATTTAAAGACAATGTAAAAAATATTATGCCCGCTGTCTTCTAAAAACTAATAACAGAAGTTTCATAAAACAATAATTAAATATATTATTATCTCAATCGAATTAGATTAATGGTTCGATTATATATTAAATATAATAATTAATAATTACGTGGAAATTTATTACGTATTTTTAAATTTTATTATTATTATTTCTGTAAATTGAAAATTGTGAAAACATTCAAAATGACCTTCTTCTTTTTTTCTTACACAAAAATATTATATCAAAGTATTTTCGCAGGTCCCAGGTTCCGCAGCTTCTAGATCCCACAATTCGATCATTATAGATTTCAAATAAACTGACAGACAATAACATTTTCATTCATAAGGGATCTGTTATAAACTCCTATTTCACCTGGTTATAATACTATCATTTTCTTTTCAGTAAAAACAGAGATAAACATGAATAATATTAATAATTTATACTTATTGAATTATATTTGAATTTATATCAATTCAATCCTACCTATAGTAATTCAATTCTATCAATCTTAGTTTAATTTTTTTTAATACTTAAAACAAATCACAATTACATACACCCTTTATATATACTACACAACACTGAAGAACGAACACGGTATATTTATGACATCTTACTAAAATAATAATTATATATATATATATATATATATATATATATATAAAATTGGAAACATTAAAATAAATAATAATTAATTTAATACAAATAATTTATATAAAATAATATTTCACTTACACTTTTCATTATATATATATAATCATTAAAGAAAATTGACATATTTTTAATGTTATTTTTCTTATTACTAAATAAGAGAAATATTTTCTTTTTAATCATTTTTTACACTAGTCAATTTCTATTTTATATTTTTTCTATAAGTATATAGAGTCTAAATTTTCGTTTAAAAAAAATAGAAAAGACTTTGAATCTTTAATTTTATTTTATGTTCAAATATTTCTTAGAAAAAATATAAAAAAAACAAAATTAACTAATTATTATATTATTAAATGAATATTAAAAATTATAAGAAACAACTTTCTCAATTATTTTAAGTGATAATATATAGTCTAACACTAGAAAAAACTTCATAATTATTAGAAGTTTATTTTCAGTAGTTATAAAAACCTTAAAAATTAAAGGTAATTTATAATAAAAAATTTAACTGACACAATAATTATAATTAATATTAATTTTTTTATTTTTATTTATTTTTATTTTTCCTTTTCTGATTTTTTCACTTTCTTCTACCTTCTCTTTCTCTCGTTGTTGTCTCTTTCTCTTTTACCGTTTCTTTCATTTTCACATTCATCTTTCAACTGCAATGTTACATATCCTCTCTTAATCACCAATTCAGATTTAATTTTTCAATTTATTAAGTTCTTATGTTTTACTTTTCAATTTTCACATGTTTGTGATTTTTGTGGAAGATTACAAGAGTTTTATCTATCACTTTTTCTTCAATTCATAGCATATGCTAATTTCTCCTTCTTTGTGACGCACTACATTCAATCGTTCTTTGTTTTTCCTTAATCTTGGATACTGAAACTTTTAATATCATTTCTTGTTTCATTGCATTTTGTTGTTGTTTTTATGGAGTTTAATATCTTTTATATATATTTTTAACTATATTAAGATGATAGTATTTTTATTTCACAGGATGAAACAAGTGCATGAAATATGTCAACATCATAAGAGGATACTCATTGGATAGTAATTTTCATTAAGTTTGACACATATGTTATGAAATTTGTGAATCTATTGACATCGTATTTTGTTAGATACATTTTATTAATGAATAATGTGATGAATTTTATTGGACTTTTAGGATGAAATTTGATTTTATCTTAGTTGATATTGAATTATATTTAGCTAAGTACTCTTTCAAAGTGAATTATATCTAAAAACTACAAATTTAACCATTTTTTAGTGAGAATCAAACTAATATTTTATGTCATTAAAACAAATGAAAAATATATTATACATTTCATTAGATTATTGATTTTATTATAATGATTAAATTATTATTAAACTTATGGTGGTATTTTAAAGTAATTCTAAATAAAAAAGTATTTTAATTATTAATTATAAAATTATTAAAAAATAATTTGTAAATAATAATAAAATTTTTGATTTATTGATAAAATAATTAAAAAATAGTAAATAATTTTTGGTGGTTTTCTAAACCTCCAATAAGTTTTAAATAATTATAAAATATTATATATTTTGCAACGGCTTTTAATTGTTGAAATATAAAATTAATTATAAAAATAACATTTGTAACAATTTCAAATTGCAACAAAATGTTAAATTAAAATGAGAATAATAATATATTTTATGGTGGTTTTTAATTTTTTTTTTACACAAATACAAGCATTTAAATTTTTTTTGTTAAAAATCGTTTTTGACATCAACAATTGTTACAAATTTTATTTGTAATGATTTTCAACTTCTAAAATCTACAATTTTAACCACTATAAATAACATAGTTTTTTTTGTAGTAAGTCTCTAATATTTTAAATTCGAATTTGATAATCGATTATAACTTATTATAATTTATTATCAACATGATAATTATAATCAACAATAATTAATTATTTCCTAAATTTTATCAATTATTGTAATAATTTTCTTAGAATAATTAATTATAATTTAATTATAATCAGTTATATATATATATATATATAAACTATTATTTTAATAAATTTTATCAGTTATTGTAATAATTTTCTTAGAATAATTAATTATAATTTAAGTATAATCAATTATATATATATATAAACTATTATTTTAATAAAATATCAGTGATTATAAAAATTAAATGAATAATTGAATATATATGTTTTTACATGATGTTATTTTATTAATTTAATTTTAAAAATAGTTAAAAAATATTTTTATAATAAAAATATTTATAATTGTATATTAAAGTATAAATTATTATTATATATATATATATATATTAATTTAAAGATATTTTAAAAAAATATTTTATTAATAAAATTTTAATTAATAATTATATATAATTTTTTAATTAAAAATATTTAATTTTAATGTAATTATTTATTATTTTTAAAATAAATATTTCGTTATCCTCACTTATTTTTCTTCTTCATGAACATATCCCAAACTTTTATTAAGATTAATATATTAATTTTTGTTAAAATTTTATTTAAACTTGGAAAATCCCATTCCTACCTCTTCCATAAGATGATTTTGTAAAAAAATTGGTTTAAAATATCGAGTTTATTGAAAGATGTTATTTTAAACAATCAATCTTATAAATCATATTTTTAAAAGAAAAATTACCTAACTAAGAATTTTTATTAATCTATTTACTTAAATAGATATATTTATTTAGTGTTTATATGTAATTTTTTTATCTTTTCTCACTCACTCATTGTTCTTCTCTTTCTTGTTTCATGTTTCTTATTTTTTTCTCTATCTTCTTTGAAATTTAATAAAAACATGTTAAAGTAATTTTTTAAAATTAACGTCTAAACTACAAAATTATCAATTAATTATTTAAAATTAGAATGATGATAAATAATTTTATTGATTATGACAATAAATAATTTTATTTATGATGATATAATTAATAAATTTAAATTATTTTATTATAATAAATCAATTATTTCTCTAATTAAAAATATCAAATATTTAAGAATTAAATGTATTTTTTATTTCTAATTATAATTAGATTGACTTGTGATGATTAGTTAGATTAGGTAATTTAGAAAAATATATTTATTGAAAGAGTTACTTTAAAATAAATATTTAATTTGTTTAATAATTATAACATAATAATAATAATATTTATAATATGTATCATATAATATTTTTTTCAAATATAATATATTAAAGTATAGTATATTTAGATATTTTTATTTTTCATAAAAAAGAAAAGACTATTTTTTTAATTTTAATCTAGTATTTTTAATTAGAATAAAAAAGTTCCTTAAATAGAATCTTTATAAGATTATTTATCTTTGTTTACTTTTTATGGACAAACTTTAATAAAGAGAAATAAATTAGTTTGACCTGATACAGTTATTTTATATTATTTCTTTATTTTTTTTCTCTTTCTTCATTTATTTCTTGTTTTTTTTTCTCTTATTCTTCAATTAAAATTAATATATTAAAATTTGATATGTGAATCTTTATTGTTATTAATATAATTTAATATATTATATATAAAAATATTATATGATAAATTTGAAATATTATAATTATTAAGAAAAAAATAAATATTTATTTTAAAATATTTTTTTAAAATACCTAATTATCATAATTCGATCTAATTATAACTAGATTCAAATATTAAATAAAAATACAATGAAATAATAAATATTTGATATTTTTTTAATTAGATGAGTAATTATTTATTATGATAATATAAATTTAAATTATTTATTCACATTGTAAATAAAATTATTTATCTTCATCGTAAGTTTAAATATTTAGTTAATATTCTTTTAGTTTCAATGTTATTTTTAAAATATCTATTTTAATATATTTTTATTAAATTTTAATATAAAATTTAATTAAAAAAATAAAAATATGAGAAAAGAGAAGAAAGTAAGAAATATAAATATAAAAAGAAAAGATGAATAGGGAGTGAAATAAATACTAAACAAGAAAAAAATAATAGTAAGAGAATAGGGAGTGAAATAAAAAATAATATATTATTTAAAAAATTTATTTTCTATTATTTATAAAATTGATTTTTAAATAAAATATAATTTTTTAAAAGAAAAATTAAAAAAACTGTCTAATATATTTTTATAAGACATTAATTTCTTTGCTTATTTTTGTTTATTACATTTACTTCTAACTCCTCTATTAATGTTACGTGTAGATTTTAAATTAGTGTCATAATTAGGCTGTGTTACTTTTTGAATGTTAAGTACTCTTAAATTGTGTGCCACATTAAATAAACTCAAAATTTAATAGAATAGATATCAATATCTTAGCATTATATATGATCATTCATTCATCCTGTGTAGCCAGCATTCCATGAAAGAGAGAAAGAGAATGACGGTGACAGAGTGTTGTTATGCAGTGGGCTTCATCTTCTGTGCATTATTTGCAGTGGTGAAATGGAACACCGTACGGTACTCTAGAAAAGGTATGCCTCCAGGATCATTAGGTTACCCTTTCATTGGGGAGACTCTCCCATTTCTCAAACAAGGACCCCTTTTCATCAAACGAGGCAGATCAAGGTACCCTACGAATATTATTTTCGTATCTATTTTTTTATTTTATTCGAACACCTTTTTTTTCTCTATTATATTTTTTTCTTTGTTGTTTTGGTTCTCTTAATTACTTTTTCTATTTTATTTTTAATTTATTTAATTTCATTTTGGTTCTTAATGTTATTTTTACGATTCCTATAAAACATCATCTTCGCACAATTATTAATTCGAAGTTATGTCTTAAAAATAAATTATGATCTCATTAATTAAATTTAATAAATATTTGTTTTTCTCTAAATTTTTACGTATTTCTATGAAAAATAGTAAAATAAGTTAAGTTTGACCGATTGGTTAATTTGTTACAAGAACAGTGAGATGAGTTGTAATTTTAACCCGCTTGTTTCATTAATCCGTCAATTTAATAAATTAAGAATGGATTGATCGATTTTAAAAAATAAATCTATATATTAAAATAAAAAAAATTATAATTAAAAAAATTATAATTTTTTAATATTATTAAAATATATAAATATATTATAATTTAAATTATAAAAATTAATTAATTAAATTTAAATTATTAATTATAATTAATTATTTGATACATAAATATAATATTTTTAATTTATCTAATAAAAATATATTTTAAATATATATATATATATATATATATATATATATATATATATATATATATATATATATATATATATATATATATTATTGAGGAACTGACTCGGTAGTGTATTCTTTGATGGAATACATTTGCATTCAATGATCCATCTGACTATGACCCATTTCTTTCTTGTGGATTAAAGATATTTATTTAATTTAGGCTAAGTTAGTTGTTCATACTGATTCGGCACAAAATTTTATTATAAATGGGCTTGATGGCTATGTTTTTGGGAACATTAAAGTCATGTAGGCCCAGTTCACACTTCTTTTGGCAAACATTGGACTAAAAAAATTTTAAGTAACAAAACCTATGCAATTAGGATAAAAAAAAATCCATCTGAAAACTATTATTTTCAAGTATTTTGACTTTATTTACAGAACTAGATTTATTTTAAAAAAAATTATACATTACAATAATTTTATTTGTTTATGCCAACCTTTTTACACCAAATTGATTTGCCAGATTAATTATTTCCAGATTATGCTTACTTTTTGGCACACATTTTGCTATCGTTCTTCATCTACATAAAATATTTTCTAATTTTCTTCATCTAGATCAAATATCTATCATCTGTTTCTCCTATATAGAATGATCAAGCCGTTTATCTTTGTGTTTGTGTGTGTCTTCTTTTCATGCAGATATGGAAATCTCTTTAAGACTCATGCATTAGGTTCTCCTGTTGTTATTAGCATGGATCCTGACGTCAATAGATACATACTCTTGAATGAAGCAAAAGGCTTGGTTCCTGGGTACCCCGATTCCATGAGGAAGATCCTAGGAACTAACATTGCTGAGGTTCATGGTGCAGTCCACAAACGAGTCAGAGGCTCACTTTTATCTCTCATTGGTCCAATGGCAGTTAAGGATCGTCTTTTGCCAGAAGTTGACGAGTTCATGAGGTCTTTCCTTGACAATTGGGATGGTAAAACAGTTGATCTTCAGGAAAAAACTGTGGAGGTACATATCAATCATATAAGTATATTACACCCTTCAAAGCAAGATTGAATCATGTTTAACGATGAAAGGAGCAATCAAAAGTTTTAAACCATATATACAACTTTCACCATGTAATGTGTATATTCATTGATTTGTTTCTTTTCAGATTGCATTCTTTAGCTCCCTGAAAGCTATCGTAGAAGATGAGCCAAACTCTTTCCTCGAGTCCTTTAAAGCTATATTTGATAAAATGGCAGTAGGAACTTTATCCTTGCCATTTAAAATTCCAGGAACTGAATTTTATCGAGGGATGAAGGTATGCATGTCTAGAATACTTGTTTTCAAGATTTTTAGAAATGGTTCACAAACCTCAACTATGGCCCACTTCAACATCAATGTTTTTGAAGTATCTGCAATTTTTCACATTATAGCAGTATTACACGTTAATTTCATGTAGGAGAATTTTTGTTGATTGCAGGCTAGGGAAAAATTGCTTACATTGCTGAGAGATCTCATAGGCAAGAGAAGAGCTTCCTCAGCTACTCATGATGACTTTCTTGAACACCTCATAAAAACTGAGAATGTCAATCAGAAGCTAGATGATGACGAAATAATTGAACAAATCATCACTCTCTTATATTCGGGTTATGAAACTGTCTCAACTACTACAATGATGATTATCAAATACCTAAATGATAACCCTAGCTTTCTACAGGAAGTAAGGGTGAGTTATAGCTTTATCATGCTCTTTACTATTAAAAGTAAATCATGGTTTAAGTTTTTCAAGTACTTGTTTGATCTAATAAATAGAAGTATTATACAGGCTGAACATTTTGCAATCATGCAAAAGAAATTGCCAGGGGAACGGATCAACTGGGATGACTACAAGAATATGAGCCAAACTCGTGCGGTAGATATTTTCTATATATATATAATATATATATATATATATATATATATATATGTGTGTGTGTGTGTGTGTGTGTGTGTGTGTGTGTGTGTGTGTGTGTGTGTGTGTGTGTGTGTGTATATGTATGTATGTACTACAAATTGATGATCACCCGGAGAATTTCAATTAATTGCATGCCCCAGATTTTCAAATTCAGAAAAAAACTGATATATTTTTGTTTTGTATGTGTAGGTGATACTTGAAACCATGAGATTGGCTAGTGTTATTTCTGGAGTGATGAGGAGGACTACTAATGATATAGAATTGAATGGTATGTTTTCAAACTTCAACCAAATTGTTTGGAAAAAACCTAAATCAATTGTTTGATTTGTTACATAAACTTTGAGTTAGCTAACATTGATGGTGCCTATCACTTGTTAGGGTTTATCATTCCCAAGGGGTGGAGAGTTTATGTTTACACAAGGGAGATTAACTTTGATCCCATCCTTTATGAAGAACCTTCTACTTTTAACCCAAGGAGATGGCTGGTTAGTTGCTTAATTATAAACAATCACTTTGTTCTTATTTGAATAATAACAACACTTGATATTGAATATAAAACATATGATGCAATGAAGGAGAAAGGGTTGGAGACTCATAATCACAACATGCTGTTTGGAGCAGGAGGCAGGGTGTGTCCTGGAAAGGAATTAGGCTTGGTTAAAATCAGTCTTTTCATTCACTATTTTGTGACTAAATACAGGTAAAATATTTAATTAATATAAATAGGGTTAGTGCTCAAATAAATTTTCAATGTTTAATTAATTCTTTATTTTCCCTCACAAGTTATTATATTTTTTTTAGGTGGGAAGAAGCAGAGGGAAACAAGAAACTGATGAAATTCCCCAGAGTGTTGGCACCAGAAGGGCTACATATGAAAATTACAAAGTACTAAAAACAAAAAGGAATATTGATATTTCAGAATTCATATGTCTGATCAATAGCTTGTCATAAAATCGTATGATTAAAAGTAATGATAAAATAAAACTATTGTTGAAATGGTATTTACTGATAATTGTAGGGATAATATCTAGGTGTTTGTCTTGAGTGAAAACCCCTTTACTTTAGTGGGGTGTGTTTGGAGTTATAGTAACATATTCTATTTAATATGTTATAGTAACATATTTTTATATCCATAAAAATATGACAAAAGTTTTATGTAGAGGAAAAATGTTACTACATTAATTTATAATAAAGGTCATTACTCGTAAGTTAAATATATTATTTATATTCTAAAATATTTTTTTAACTCTAAAATAATATAAAACAAACCTATCAAATATTTGTTTCATTAATACATACATTTTTATTTTGATGAAGATTGAATTTTTCATAATTATAGATAAGAGTAGTTCATGTTCATGAAAAAAAAAACATTTGACTCTTAAGTCTTTTAATTTAATTGATTTATTTTATTTATTATTTTAAAAATTTTGAATTGTTGTAATTCATAATTTTCAAAGTTAAAAACTTGTAGAGATATACACCCAACTCAATGTATTAATATTGTTTTTAAAATTGATTTTATTAGTACTCTTATTAATTTTTGAATTTTAATTTTAACCAATATTTATAATTATTGTATATTTTAGAAAGAGTTTGAAACTATTAAATTGTCACAATGTATGTTTTCAAATTCTAAGATTAATATATAAACGGACATAGCAATCAATTAACCCATTTTAATTAAATTTAATATTAATAAAGTTGTTATTATATTAATTAAAAATGGATTTATTTCATATATTTATTTCTATGAGAGTAATTTATTGTTCTTATATGTAACAACCCGTAAATTCTACTTAAAATTTTTCAATAAATGAAGTAAGAAAATAACTTTTTTACCTAAGAGAGGTATAATAGTTCAGTTTACATATCCAGAATAGTTGAAAAGAAGAAAAGAAAAGAAAACATCACACATCAAAAGTCCTAATTACACAAATATTTTACACATAATTACATAACACAAAATAACTCTTTCAAATTTAGGAGGTCTCTACTCCATTTCTCAAATCACTGGGTCTTACTACCACCTGTAGAAGATTTGGAATCTGCTCACATGTATAACACGATCATAGCAGGATCCCAAAAGATCAAGCACGCAACAAAAGCAAGCACTAGTGCAAAAAGGGGCTTTTACGTTAGGTATTTAGGGCTTTTTACGTCATATTTAAGTCCGACGTTAAAGCGGGAGACGTAAATTTACGTCGGACCCTTTTGCCCGATGTAGATTTACGTCAGTTATCAAGATCCGACGTAGATTTACAATAAACAGACGTAAAAACCTTTTCAATTTAAAAAAAAAAAACGAGAAAATTTACGTCGTATATGGTATACGCGACGTAAATTTACGTCGCGTATACCATATGCGACGTAAATTTACGTCGCATATACCAATATGCGACGTAAATTCTCTGTTTTTTTAAATTCGATTTATTTATTACGTTTTACAACTAAAACACTGCAAATAGTAATCCAGACAGTCCAGAGGTTCAGTTTTCTTTAGCTAGTAAATTAAAAATATAATATTATATAATTCAAACTACATAATAAAACAATATAATACAAACATACAAACTAAGCTACCTATACAAACTAAACTAAACTACATAATACACACAATATAATATGAACAAGAACTTAAAAAATAATGTACTAGAATTGTTGAACAAAAAATTTTGCCCATTGTTCTCTAATTTACGTAATCTCGATTCTCGTAATGGAGATGGATCTTGAAATACCGAAACATGAATTTGACTCTTGTAAGCATGCAACATGAATAAAGTTAAATAAACTTAACTAATGTTAAAAGTAATTACCTCCAGTCCAAGAATCAATTAAACCGCACAAACTATGGCTCTCATCCAATACATTACATAATAACCACATTCAAGCGAGTCAGTTTGCTTATTACATTGAAATGATGAAAAAAACATAATATTATTTTCAAAATTGAAATACAAACAATAATTATGGTATTCACTTATATAAATAAGTTTCTAACCTTAGGATAAATGAAGCTGCAAAGTCTTTGTTCTAGGTTTTCCACTTAGAACATTAGTTCGAGACACGATTCTAAGTGAAAAAAAGTCATATATTATTCAATATGTATTCACAATTTAAAAACATAATTAATGAATAAAAGATAAAGTTACCCTTGTAATAAGCTTTTCATTTCTTGACTCGGTTTCAGATGTAATGAACAAAACCACACCACGAGTGTAATCCACGGGCATGATTACAATTAGCTGCCGATGGGACCTACATTGTATGACATAAAAATTAGTTACAAAAATATAAATTAAAATACAAATTAAAATACTAACCCTTCAATGTATGGAGCCAAATATATATGTCTTCTTGAGTCACTCATCCATGTTTGCATATATTGTTGGATTCCAACCTTTGTATTTCGAGATTTTTGGATGGATTGAGGCTCGATAAATCAGTACACTTCGGATTTTTCTTGTTCCACACTCAAATTGTCAAGGTACCTAAAACAATTAATTATAAGTTGAATATAATTATTATAATCTTAGAAACATAAATGAAAATGACTTACATTGCCCACGATTGTATGATGGAAATGTTTAACATGCAATTTCCCCGACAATTTCTAAAGCATCGGGCAAGGAAATGTACAATGGAACAACTGGAATTGTCAATTCCAAACACTCTAACATCTCATTGTATCGACACGGTCTCTTCCTCAGCCAGTGGTAATACAGTTAACAACATAGAGATGAGATCATCATCACATTCAGTCGAGATCCTCATCAATAATAGGTTGTTTTTTATGCTTTGCACGACGCAAGTCCTCCTAAACAAATGATAACAATTAATTAAACATTTATATAATTATAATACTAGAAAAGAGTAAATAAACAATATGTATATATATATATATATATATATATATATATTACCTTGGTACTGTCTTGATAGTGGCATAACCAAACGTCTTGGCCAAGCCAAGAATGTCCCGCTTGCTGCCCCACTAATTGAATCTCTTCATTAGGAAAAGGCACTGGAGCATTAGCATCATGAACTTCATCAACTACTACTCGTGTCGGTCTAGGCTGTAGAGGGACACCATGGATGGTTAAGCCACCCTCAAAACTCGACCAACGGCCACTAGACGCGGGGGTCATCTTCGACATATAACTCACGCTTGGTGTGATGCATCGATCTGAGTATATTCTCTGAAGGATCAACGATGAGTAGCGGCACAACTCCCTTTAGTGCTTGACTCGAACAATATCATGTTCAATTGTTTGAGGTGTTCCTTGAGTGCATTGCTTGAGAGCGGGCGAGAGATTCAATTTTCTCATCAAACTCTTGCTTGCAAGGACTGCCTTATTTGATTTAACTTTTCTTCAAACTGCATCTCCATTTTATGCAAGGCCTCACTGGCTGCAAGAGTCGGCAGTGGTCCTTCGTGATGTTGGACCAAAGTAATCACGAAGGCCCCGGGTTCCACCGGCACCACGCACACGTCCTGAGTAATCTGGTTTTCCTATGGTCGTCGCCAATATATCTTGTCGACCATGAGGAATAAATGATCCTTGGCTGATGCTGCTCAACTAAATCATCCTACAACACATTAACAATAATTAAGTCATACACTAACTTTCAAATTAGAATCAATTCAAATTGACATTATAACTTACGATTTTACGAGCAATGATTCATGCGGACTCGGAAGTCATTTGTCCATCAGATTTTGTCAGGCTGCCTTCCACATCGATAGCGAGGGGTGGAGATGCAAGGTCGGTAGAATCAACTCCTCGCGACTCTTCTCTGGATTTCATGAGGCGTTGCTCCAATAATGCATACCCTCCTCGTGACAATACATGGGGTGCATCATTCAACCTCCGACGTTGTTGGGCGGCTTGTCTTTTATCTCGCCAAGAGGGGTCCATTCGGGTGGCACAAAGCGTAACCAATCCTCCTCACTAATTTGATACTTTACACGGGAGATTCATCTCGAAACTTTCCAAATACATACTCCAGTGTCAAGAAAGTCTTAAAGTCCCTCCATCTAATGGCAATGGAGGATAAAATCTTCTTCCTCATCACCTCGGTGTTAGGAACATCAAAATTTCTTTGTGAAATGACCAATAAATGTTAAATTCAATTAATAATGATATATAAAGTATTCAACAAATATAGAAATACCTGAACATCCTGCCACATGAGGTTCTTCTCGGTTTCCTCAACATCATCCCAAGATGGAGTAGTAATCGGAACATGGTGTCGAGCTAGTAGTCCCAAATAGCTCTTAAACTTAGCGGCATTTGGGCCGGATGCCTTACCGGAACGTGGATCAACTTCAACTTGAGTTTTCTCTCTAGCTACCCTCCTTGCTTGTCAACCCCTTTAGCAGAGTGACGGATCTACCTTTATCACCACTTCAGCTCCTCGCTACTGCCACTACCACTACCGATTACCAGTTGTGGAATCCGACATATCCTGAAAAACAAAACAATATTAAGTCAACATACTTTATAAGTTTGAATAAAAAGAACTAGAAAATGTTAAGATAAACACCTATTATGTTGGTATGTTTTCCCATCTCCCTTCATCATGATCACTTCGAATTGCATGTATGTCATCAACTTCATTGTCAACTATGTCATCAAATGGTCTACTTGAAAATGAAGGTGTTTCATGTATATCTAGAGACTCATCTTCATGAATTAGTGCATGTTTCTTCCTTCTAGGACAATTGACCATCTCTCATTACATGGATCCTTGACATAAAATATTTGTCTCGCTTGATATGCCAAAATAAAAGGTTCATCCTTATACCCGACTTTACTCAAATCAACCAAAGTAAATCCTAGGTCATTTGTTCGCACACCAGTATTCCCTTCGACCCATTTACACTTGAAG